CTAATTCTCTGACATTGCTCTCTCAGTTTCTCAATCAACCTCCCACTAAAACTTCTTATTCCCACCCTTCCTTAAATACACTGGCACGTTTTGGCCCTGCCCCTCTCTGTACCCTTAGCCTTTGCCCTCCCAAATAGGACACGTGAAGCTTTACAGTGTACACATCCCAAAGCACTTCATAAAATGACACACACATCAAGCTCCTTATCATAAGGTTTGTTTGATACTCAACAAAGCGAGTAATTTTGTTTTACAGGAAATCTGGTTTTGAGATCTCTAGAGCTAAAAATACAAGCTACGCTGGCTCTGAGATCTCTCCTTGTTAGGAAAGGCACAAAAAAAGATTTCTTTTTCCTATGCTCCACAAACACACAAAAGAAAMAGAAAGGGAAAAAAACATGTTTTGTCTCCCAAGCAGGAAGTCACGGTTGAAAAACTGCAAAAGAAGCGCTGAAATAACCCCTCAAACTGTTTTAATAGAGAAATTCAGAAGATCTGCCAGAACATGGATGGTTTTTGCTAATTTAACAATATTATTTCTATCTATCAAAACAGCATTTACTGCAAATACAGCTTCTAGCTGCACTAGCCACAATGGAAGTGTCGGGTCAAGCACTAAACATGAACAGAAGCATCATCTAATAACCAAGTTCAACCTGTTTGCATCCTAGATGCAGAGCTGTACCTCACAGCAGGAAGCATGCCCATTAATTCCCTCCTAAGATAAAGTTCCTCCCAGTTGAGACAATTTCCACAGCAAACAGAATGTCATTCTGCATTCCAAATTATTATACTGTGAGGAAAATAAAGTACCATATTCTACTGCAGAATAATTTCCTCCAATAAAACAAAAGGATCTTTAGATGTCAGGTTTCATGTGAATTCTGAAATAGGCCTTTATCCTCAAGCTAGTCAGACTGGTGAACTTTATTACTCAGAGGGGAAAAAAGTAATTGGGTAAAATCAGATAAGCTTTCCTATCAACGTGCAAAGACCCACAGTTCTGTGGCAAAGGGACTTTCACAGCAGCTACTTCCAGAGCAAAAGACAGGATCATTCTCCAATGCATCCAAGGCAAAGCACAGTATATCCCACATTCTTGCAAGATGACCTGCAAAAAATAGCAAAGAGCTACAGACCTCAAATGCAGTATGTAAAATTTTGAAAAACAGATGTCTTGATACGGGTACAATCACAGATCCAATCTAATTACAAAAGAGATGACTTTTATGGCCTAGATCTTTGCCATTTCTAAAAGTGGGATCGAATATTTAAGAACATTAATTCTGTTTACCAGACAACAAGCTCTCTGATAATCACGGGGACTATTTCGAGCGGAATCACGTTGCTTTGGGAAGYTCTCTGAGCAGAGGCAGCACCTGCCAGGGCGCTGGGAACCCACTGGCCRCTCGCATGGCGCCAAATCCGCGTCTCCCACCGGCAGCTCCGGGCCAGTTCCTCCCCGCGCCGCCCGGCGCCACAGCAGGGATGGGAAAGGCAGCAGCCCAAGGCACATGGCTGGGACATCATCAAGTCTCCTGCCTCCTTTTTTTATTTTATTTTGTARTTTCAGGCTAGGCAATGCATCCTGCCCTGCCACTTCCCCTCACATCCTCCCAGAGTGAGGGGAGCTGCAGGCATCTCAGGCAGCTCCAGTTCCCAAGCAGCTCCCGAACGTCCCCTAGGCTGCCCTAAACGAGGCTCTGCTTTTTGTTTGTTGCCCTTTTCCCAGCAGTGGGGCTGGGTGCTGTTTTCACCCCTGCTTTTCCACCAGYTGGCCCTGTTCTGGGAAGGATGACACGTGTGCGTAAGCACATCTGAGAAAGAAGCGCTCCCGAACTCGGCAGCAGAGCTAAGAACAGCCAAGCTCAGCAGAGCCATGGGCTGCTCTGCAGGCTTCCCAGCAGCAGGAGTAGCAACTGTGCTACTGGTGCCGTATGTCAGAGCATGGCAAGGCCGAGCTCCAGCTGCTCCTCACACAATCTGTGCCGCGTCCAAAGGAAGCAAGGCTCGAGCTCAGGGACACTTTAAAATCCAAAATTTTCAAACCAGAACTTACAAGCCAGAATTATTTCCCTCTTSGGAAGAAAAATTTCCTGGGGGTGGGTTTATGTCTTGATTAAGATGCCCTTATTCCACAGACCAAATTCACTTGAAGGAAGTAAAAAAAAAAACCCAGTTCTTTCCTTTTCCTCCCATCTTTGCTCAGGTAAAGGCTTCTCCTGACACCTGGGAAAAGGTAGGAACTCCACATGCCTCCCAAAGTGCTCCAAAGAGCTTTGCTGCTCGCTATTCCCTGTGAGCAATCACAACCTACAGCCCGAGCCAGAAAATGTCTGACACACTCGCGAGCCAAAAGGTTAGTCAGCAACGTGACTCAGTCCTGGAGACTCCTTCAGAAAAAGCCTGTGGGAAGGAGGGTAACTGTRCACTTAGAAAGGAAAAAAAAATAACAGGGAAACAGAAAATAAAAAGAGGAATTGTCCAAGGACAAAGTATTTCCCTCTTGCCTGGAATCCAAGGTTTGCTTCTGCCCCACAACGGAATAGCTGCTGTGGTGGATCTGTGGACTCTAGCACCACGAACGCTAAGGCAAACACGCAAAGTCAACACCTCCAGCACCAAGGTGAGCACAGGCCGTTTCTTTGCAGCTCCGTGTAAACCGACAGCCGTTCCGTTAACTCYGTGTCCCGGAAAGCTCCCAGTCCCGGTTAGCAGGATGCAACAGGTGAACAAGGCAGAGGAACACGGGGCSGAGGGAAGAGACGGCGAGGAACGAGGGAGGTTAACAAGTCATCCCAAAGAGGGAACATCTTCCCGCTCGGCAGCGCCGCGGGACAAGGGGCAGCCGAGAGACAGGACTGACACCCGTGCTTGCACCGGGCTGCTCTGACCCGCGCCCCTCATCCTCCACCTGCCCTTCCCTCCCTCCTCTGCTCCCTGCACCACGGGCCCTTTCCCACCGCGCGACCGCAGAGCGCCCACCACCCTCCACCCCCCCTCACCGCGCCCGGCAGAG